GCGTGGGCTACTTCATCGATGAGGACAGGTGGGTCAACCTGCCACACATCCACAACCACCTGGACGGGCACGCCGTGGCCGTGACTGAGTCCTACGTGTATGTGGCTGGCTCCATGGAGCCGGGGTTTGCCAAGACTGTGGAAAGGTACAATCCAAACAGAAACATTTGGGAGCAGGTCTCGAATCTAATCACCAGAAAGCATTCCTTTGGCCTGACTGAAGTGAAGGGCAACTTGTACAGTATTGGTGGACACGGCAACTTCAGTCCAGGCTTTAAAGATGTGGCCATTTATAATCCCGAGCAGGACAAGTGGCAGAACCTGGAGTCGGCACCCAAGATCCTGCGGGATGTCAAAGCTGTCTCCGTGGAGGACCGGTTTGTGTACGTGGCCGCCCGCACCCCGGTCGACAGTGACAGCGAGGACGGGCTGAGGGCCGTTATTACCAGATATGACACTGAAACCAGGCAGTGGCAGGATGTGGAGTCCCTGCCCCTCATCGACAACTACTGCTCCTTCCAGATGTCCGTTGCCAACACCAACTTCTACCACACGGCCTCGTGCTGCCCTAAGAGTTACCCCATCGACAACGAGGAGGCCAAGGGAAAGATCTCTGGCAGGGCCTCGGATGAAATCCTGGAATCCTTGCCCCCCGAGGTCCTGAGCATTGAGGGAGCAGCCATTTGTTACTACAAGGATGACGTGTTTATCATCGGGGGGTGGAAGAACAGTGATGACATTGACAAGCAGTACAGGAAGGAGGCCTATCGCTACTGCGCCGAGCGCAAGCGCTGGATGCTCCTGCCCCCGATGCCACAGCCCCGCTGCAGAGCCACCGCCTGCCACGTGAGGATCCCCTTCAGGTGCCTGCAAGGAACACAGAGGTACCCCATGCCACAAAACCTGATGTGGCAAAAGGATAGAATAAGGCAAATGCAGGAAAGGCAGATGCAGGAGATCCACCGACACTCCTTAACCTTACGGAGAATGCCACGCTCCCAGATTGAGTGCTAGTGTCTGGAATACCACTCCTGATGGGCCTAGGAAATAAACCCTTTTGTTAGGCTTGATATGTCTTTATAAGACATGAGTGTGCGGATTGGATTTGATGCATAAAACCAGCATCTTTTGTGTACTGAAAAGTCAGAAGCTCAGAAGTTGAGGATGGGTGGGAATTGAGATGCTCTGTGAATCCAGCAGTATTCCTTAATGGTGCCTAGGGAGAAGCTGTAGCCTGTATCGGGCTGTGAAATGTCTCTGGGTGCATTAAGCCTGTTACTTCTCTCCTCGGATCTTTGGTTCCAAGGGTTTCTGTAGAGTTAGTCTCTAACAGTTCTCCTTTGAAAATCAAAGATCTGTCTCTTAATAATTTAGTGGTTACATTTGTGTGTGCTTGAAAGCACCTTTTTATTTGCACTTATCTCTTGACATTCCTTTGATTCTCTCCTCAGTGACTAAACTTCACAGGATTGGTGTTGGTGTACTTGGCTTTCCCAAGCTGGAGGCAAGTGCAATAGTTCTGTATGAAACAAAAGCACAATCTTCCCTTACGAGATTGCTTCAGGATGTTTCTATGTGTATTAAATATTTTGTATCTGTGAGTTGTAGAGAGGCTGCAGAGTTTGTTTATAAATGGATGATTGGTAGGACAGAAGATGCTGGAAGAGAGAACTAGAGGCAGTGGATTTTATTTCAGGTGTATCTGCAGGTTTGAGTCTGTGTTTGACAGCTTTGTTAGAAACTCGAGTCTAACAGCAGCCTGAGACAAGGAGTGACAGCCAGTGTTGAACCACCCACCCACACTGGCTGTTCATTTCTGTCAGAGTGGAGCAGTGAGAATGGGATTATTCCATGGGAATAGGGTGAAACCTGAGCTACGTGTAGATCCTTTCTCAAATGTTGCACATGTTTTAATTCTAGTGAAAAGTGATGGAAGAGCCCCTGCTGTTCCCAGCGTGTCTCTGACAATCAGAACCCTTTGCCTTCCATGTGCTGTCCTGAGGAATTCCCAGCAGCCATACTGCAGCTCCATAATGAGCCCACACGTGCTCCTCTGGCAGGGAGAGATGAGTTTTCAAAGTCTTCAGATATCTGAATTTCACCACTTGCTGTGGGGGTGAGATGTAAGCTCATTTAAACACCTTTTGGCATTCTGAGGTGATTTTACATCCATCTGCCCTGGTTGACTGTGGGTTTCTTCCCACTGTACTCCCAGGGAATAGAATGTGGAGTATTCCCTTAGAGCTGTCCCACTGAGCACTCCTTCTGCCCAATCTGAGTTGCTCCAGGACCCTATGGTTTACCAGCGGTTTCAGTGCATCCTTCCTACCTCCTTTTCTCTCCATCCTTCCCTTCTTTTGAATGTTCCAGGTTTTCCCAGCAGTGTAACTCAGGATCTTAGGGAAGGGAATGGGAGGAGTAATCTCGGTGTTCTGAAATCTGTGTAGACAAACTTCGTTGGAGAATGTGTTACTGTTCTTGGTTCCTTGATATTTGCTGGTGGTTTTGATGTGGGCATCTTCACTGCAAAGAACCTGTAACCAGTTTGGGGTTTGTTTTGTTTTTAGTTGGTTTGCTTTCTGAGCTGCTCCTCCTCCTTTTCCAGTTCATCCGGCAGCCCAGATCGTATCTGAAACTTGGGGTAAGTCCTTGCACCACTGTGTGTAAAGGTTTCTCTGATGTGTATGTTCCTTAACGCACTACTTTGCAGTTCACGGGCCACTTTGGTATCAATAACTTGCCTGTTCATGAGAGAGTCTCCAGCCTTGGTTTGAAAAACCCACCAAACTTGAAAAACTCTGAACGGTTTGTCCCAGTTGACCCCTCTGTGGTAACAGTGTTGTATTTTCTTTGCCTGTTGGGTTGTTGGGGCAGGTGAAGTTTATGCTGCTGGCCTCATGCAAGTGGAAATAGGTGAGTTTAAGGTGATGTTTGCAAGTGACTGTTCCCAAACAGCTCCTGTAGGCCTGTAAGCCAGGAGTTGATCCATGGAGTTTGGCCCACAGATTCCTTCAGGTCTGGCTGGAGTAGGTTCAGAATTGCTGCCCCTGCAGGAGGTCTGTGATACAGTGTGCAAATGCCTCTCAGCTCTAGTGCTCAATCCATCAATGTAACAGCAATTCCTTGGAGCTGGTTTTAAGATACTTTCCCAGACTTTGCACCAAAGCAACTGAGAGGAGTTCATATCCTTCACCCCGCCACCCTGGCTGGAGGGATTTAACAAGCAGTTGGAGGGTAGTAGTAGGTCACATCACCACAGCTCTATCCAAGCCCTCTTGTAGTCTGTCATGGAATACAGACAATTTGTAGGGAGAAACACGGAGATGATGTTTCAGTTGGAATAGCAACTAAATATTTAATGCATGGCAGCGTGCAACAAAGAGGCAAGAACAGACCTTGCAGTCTTGCTTTTTCTAAGCAAAATTGATATTGCACTTTCCCAGGAGGACTTTGGGCTGACAGACAAGCTGTGTTATTTACTAAAAGCACTCCCCTCAGAGCCAGTGTCAGCCCAGCCCATCCCTGGACAGGTAACCTGTGTGTCCCAGCCGCATGCCGTGTGTGCTCCATGTGCATGGCACTGGGGGTCCCTGGCAGCAGCATGGGCTGCTCTAACCTTTGCTCTGCCAATTCTGGGGTAGTTTTAAGCATTGGTGCTTTTTGGCCTTGACTTTCAGTGGATTAATGGCATTGATGTGGTTTGTGACTGACGGGTTGAACAATCCACTGCATCACACGAGGTGTTGGGAGAATTGCATTCACAGCTCGGGCTGTAATTTAGCCCATGAACCTGTGAATCCATAACAGTTCCTTGCGGCCCTTGAGTGCCATAGCTTGCTGAGTGTTTATCAGATGATCCCATAAACAAAAGCCTGGGGGTTGTTTCTGTGTGTTTGTAGTAGCTGGTCAGCTGTCAGCAGGGTCCCAGTGTGTGTGAATGAGGAGGCTGACTACTGGCCTCTCTGTACTGGTGGTCACTGCAGTGACTCCCAGGGGCCATATGTGTACAGAATGTTTTATAACTACCTGGTTACTCCATTGGTAGCCTGGGGGTGTCTGTGTTTTGAGTGCCTCTCTTGCACATAGTAGAGACCACTGCAGAGCTGAAGCAAACAGCCCAGTGTTGCACGTGCTGTGAATGGCTGGGCCGAGCATTCCACTCCAATATTGCAATGGTGTTTTTCCCCATTACAGTAAATGTCAAAATCCAAACTCTTGGCTCAGCTTATGTGTTGTGGAATAGCCTGGTGGCTGCTGACAAACCAAGTCCTCAGGAATTACAACTGTTTAGGTTGTTCTTAACACAGCCTTGTAAGAGGATGTTGTAACATCCAATGGGTTTTGAAAAGCAATTGTAAAGTAGGTGGTTTGTGGCTTGGATTCATTTTCAGCTCTGTCCACCTAGGTTGGGGTACAAACCATCTCTCCTGTTTGACAGTCCTGGGTGTAGTCTAATAAAACAGGTGCTCCTGAGGATCTAACTCTGTTACTAATATGAATGTATACTGTGGAACTAACAAGCTCTTTGAAGACCATTGATAGTCAGATCTTCCTCCTGGGTCCATGTCACTGTTGGTCACGGCAGCTCTGCTCTCCTGGGACATGAACGGAGGGGCAAGAGATTTCTGAGGAGCAGCACTCCTGTCCTTACCTGTGAGGTAAAGTAGTGTGTGTGATAGGCCCTTTGAAACAAATCCTGCTGTCATGTTCTTGACCTTAAATACACTGTACTAAAGTTTATTGTAAGAGGTGAATTAATGAAAATAAACCTTTTATTTCTCTAGCATCCCATTGTACTTTTGATTTTTTAAATTGCTGTACAGGCTGTGGCTGATAACACATGTTCTGTGGTGCCACGGAGTGAAAGCTTTAAATCCTAATGATCCTTTTGGCCTGTAGCAATTGTTTCTATTTTAGAACAAGAGAACACGCTCCCTTTCCTGCTCTAGAGACTTTATTAGCTAAAGAGAACTATTTTCACAGGCATCCAATGGTGGGATGCTCAGAAGATTTTATTAGCTCAGCAGGACTATTTACAGGAGCATCCAGTGATGACTGATCATAAGGCGTAGCTAAGGGGGAACTATTTACAACGGTGAGCTCCGAGTTGAAGTGCTGAACAAGATGTCCATGGAGGTGTTGTGCCGGTAGTAGTGTTGCCTGGCGATGTACTCCATGACGTTGGAGAGCCCTGGCACCACGCAGCAGCTGACGGCGCTGCGGGTGATGCCCATGCTGTGGGCGTCGTACCACTCGTTGGTGTCCTCCTCGTAGCACTCGGCAGCCACGGTGGTGCTGAACCCATTAAAGCCCCCGACCACGAACAACAGGCCGTCCATCACCTCGATGCCAAAGTTGCTGCGTGGGTTTAGCATGGAGGGCACGGCGTGCCAGGCGTTGGTGACGGGGTTATACGCTTCCACGGTCTGGAGCCGGCTGTTTCCATCGAACCCTCCGACCTGCGAATGCCAAAGGGGCAGAGCTGAAAGGGGCCTTCCCTCAGCCAGATCCCATCTCACCAGTGAGATGGGAGCTGCTCCTGCCTCCCTGGCGGTGGTCTGAGCATGGTGGAGAGCACAGGATTTCAGAACACGGTGCTTGCTTATCACAGTCTGCTCCCTCGGGAGCTTCCCAAGGCACTGTGTGCAGCTGTCAGATTTGACAGTTCTCCAGGGGTTGGATGCAGTCCATGGAGAAGATAAACAATGAATGAACAGGCCCAAGCCCTGCTGTGTGCTGCTGATGCTGTTGGTAGTGGCAGAAGATAAGTTGTTTGCTGCAGCTGCTTAACCATTGCCCACATCTTTTTCTTACCAAAAAGCATGTGATGGGTGATAACATTCTTGGTAAGTCCATCAACTGTTCTTACTTCCCTAAACCTCACATAAACACATGGCCAGCCTAGTGTTGTGGGAACTGCAGCCATGCAAAAGCCTGCAGTGCGGGGTGGTGGTGGCCCTTACCGCGTACACCTGGTTCCCGTATGCCATCACTCCAACCCCGCTCCTCCTGCTGCTCATTGGGGCAATCAGGGACCACTGGTTTGTGGCAGGGTCGAATACTTCAGCTGAGCTGAGGCATTGATCGCCGTCAAACCCTCCACAGATGTACACCTGGGGACAGGAGAGAGAGGAAAGCGCAAGGGGAGCAGTTAGACCATTGGTGAGACAGTCTGTTGGAGAGAAAATGATTGGTGTGGCTGGATTTTTGGGCTGTCTTGTTTTGTTTTAGGAGGGGAATGAGAATGTCATCCTGGGTTTGAAGTAGCAGCACTACAGGGAGTTGAAGCCAGCAGGATTTAGACCCTTAATTTCCCAAGCTGCATGAAGCAGACAGGCCTGGTATTGCACCTTTGGCCAGGAAAAGGGCTGGCGGGCACCAGGTGGGCTGTTGGGGGGCAGCAGCTCCAGAAGAGTTTTCACGCTCCTGGTCACATCTCTGCCACACCAGGTAGGTGCTGTTTTATATCTGTATGTCCAGGATTTAATGAATTGTTACAAATTCAGTGAAGATTTATATATGAACTTTCTTCATGTTGCAGCTCTCCATCCTCTCCCCATCCATTTACCATTCCGTTCAGGGTGGTTGCATTGGCATCACTCCTCTGCTCGTGCATGGGGGTGATCAGGGTCCACTGGTTGGTGTCTGGGTCATAGCGCTCTGCTGTGTTGAGCCGTATGTAGCCATCAAACCCTCCCATGGCATAGATGAAGTTGTCCACGACGGTCACGCTGACGTAGCAGCGGCGCGAGTGCATTGGTGCCACCTGCTGCCACGTCTTCTGGAGCGGGTCGAACCTTTTCACGATATTGAAATAATCCGTGCCGTCAAATCCTCCGATGACATATACATAGCCTTTCAGATATGCTGAGCCGTGGTAGGCGACGGGGCTTTCTTGCTCCCATGGGATATTAAGCCACTTGTCAGTGCGGCCGTCATAAGTTTCAATGGCACTGGTGGCACCGCCCCCACTCCAGCCCCCGATGGCGAAAAGGATGGCGTAGGGCAGGCGTGGCCGGGTGAGTGGGTTGGCGTTGGCTGAGGAGCTCTGGCCGTACGAGTTCAGGTCATAGATCTCCGACAAGGCACTGATGATGATATCCTTGCACTCCGCATTGTCCTTCACGTACTCATGAGCCTTGACGTTGTTCATGAAGTAGTCTGACTGCAGGAGTGCCAGTCGAACCTGGAACATGCAAGGAGGAGGTTAGAATACTAATGCTGATGGTTTCCCCCTCGGCAGCCTTTGGGGACAGCTTCAAAGCTCTGCTGCACCCACCTTGCCCAGCAAGGAGGCGATGTACTGCCTCCTGTTCTGCGGGTCGTGAGCGATCCACCTCAGCACAGCCTCGAACACGGCTTCTTCTCGCTTCACGTTGAGCTCGTCCTTCTCGATGATGTGTGCCAGCTCCTCAGCAGAGAGGTCTAAGAACTCCTCGGACACCTGGGACACCTCCTCGAAGTGATGCAGGATGTACACGCAGGCGGCTGCGCGCAGGTCGGGGCAGTGGTAATAGTCAGTGAGTCTGCAGATGCCAATGCAGTTCTCAAAGCACAGCCTGGATCTGAGGAACTCGCAGCACAGGTTGACAATGCCCATGACATTGAACTGGTCTGCTGCAGCCAGCAAACTCTCAACGTTGTCCTCTGTGATTGGTACTGTACGAGTGTAGGCGTAATTGATGATAAGACCCATCATTTCAGCTGAAACACCGGGGATTCGATAGACCATCTTGTCTTCGCTGCCCCAGTTGGTAAACAGAGTCCTGAAAACATGGCATTGCTGCATTAAATCCTGTCCTTGGGTCCCCTGTGTTTCCCGAACTCCCAGGGCAACAGTTTAGGCACTGGCAGGAGCCCTGCTGAGAGGCCCCGTAGTTTATTAATTAATGTTTTACTTGCTGATTGTTTGAAAAAGGAGATACAGCCTCTGGCTGGGGACGGGGAGCACCAGGGCGAACAGCCCCCATGGAATTCTCCACAGGAATCATAAAATCACAAAATGGCCTGGGTTGGAGGGGACCTTAAGGATTATCCCATTCCAACTCCTGCCATGGGCAGGGACACCTTCCACTAGACCAGGTTGCTCCAAGCCCCGTCCAACCTGGCCTTGGACACTTCCAGGGATGGGGCAGCCACAGCTTCTCTGGGCAACCTGTGCCAGGGCCTCACCTGGCTCACAGGGAGGAATTTTTTCCAAATATCTAATATAAACCTCTGTCAGTGTGACGCCATTCCCCCTTGTCCTGTCACTCCAGGCCCTTGTAAATAAATCCTTGTGTTTCCAGTACTGACCTGAAGTAGGTACTGCAACAAGAGAGGATGAGCTTGTGAGCCTTGAATTCCACCCCATCCACGCTTATGATCACATCACAGAATCTCCCTTCCAGGCGGAGCTCGTTGGAGATGCTGCTTTCGCTCATCTTCCTCTCCCTGTTGGAGGATGACTGTCTGGTGGGTGCTGAGCTATCCCCCGCGTTGTAGTCAGAGGCAGAGTGGACCTCGCTGACGCACGTGGAGCACTCTGGTGTTGCCTGCAAACATCCAGCGTTGAACCCACTCGCTGGCTCTGGATTGTGCCTCGTTATGACATCACAACCACAGGGGTGACCCAGGCCCAACATTCCCTGGTTGCCTGCAGCCTTCAGTTCCCCTCAGCCCAGGTTATGCTGAACCCTGGGCCTGCACCATGTTGATGGTTGCTTGGAGCAAAATCGTCTGTGTGATCCCCCAGCATAATAATAATTAATAAATAATAATAAATAATCCTCAATATTATTTTGCCAGAGTGTGAAAGTCCCCAAAGGTGGGCACTGACTGCTGCTGAAGTGCCTTGTGCCACCTCACCCAGGAGGAAGCTGAGGCACAGCGCAGCTCCTGTCAGTGCTGAAGTCACACACACTGCCCCTGATTTGTCATTCAAGGTGTGCCAGGGGAGTCTTAGGTTGGATATTGGGAAACTTTTTTCCCCCAAAGGGCTGTCCAGCCCTGGCACAGCTGCCCAGGGCAGCAGTGGTGGCGTCCTCATCCCTGTACAGGTTTAAAAGCCGTGTGGCTCTTGGGGACATGGGTTCGTGGTGGCCTTGGCAGTGCTGGGGGACGGTTCGCTGGGGGACGGTTCTCTGCGGGCATTTCCCGCACACAGTTCCGCGACTCCGCGTCCCCGGCGCTGCGGGGCGGTTCAGTGCCAGGAGCCCTTGCGGGCACGAACGGCCCTGCCGGCGGCTTCTTTATTGGAATCTTTCCTTTCTGTTTCGCCCTCCCCGCTCGTTGCGGCAGAAACGAAACCGCCGGTCCCGCCCCGCGCTGCTGCGGGCGCCGGGCGGAGGCGCAGCCGGGGCGTGGGGGGTCCCCCCGCATCCCCCTACCCCGAGCACGCCCCGAGTCCCCTCCGGCCCCGCGGCCGCGTTCCGGTCCCGCCCCCCGGCCCCGCCCCGCGGCTGCGCGGCCCGGCGGGAGCGGAGCGGGAGCGGAGCGGGAGCGATGGTGAGCGGGGACCGCGGGCCGGGAGCCCGGACTGCGGCAGCGGCGGCCCCGGGGCTGGGCGGGGGAGCGCGGCCAGGAGGGCGCTGGAGGGTCCTCGGTCCCACCAGGGCGGCACCGAGCGGGGTCTCTGCTCTGCCCGCAGGTGCCCGAGCTGGAGAAAGCCACGGTCCGGATCCGGCAGCCCGAGCGCGTGCGGGGGATCATCCGGACCCTCCGGGAGCAGGGGGTGGCCAAGCTGCAGGTACCGGCCCCGGCGGGGCGGGAGGTGCATCGCTCACGCTCGGTCCTTGTCTCAGCTGGCCCTTCCTCACCCCCCCCCGGCTGCGGCGCGGTGTGCAGGCGGAGGGGGAGAAGCCCCAGAGGAGACGGAGGACGGGGCTGGTGGCTCTCCCCGGACGGTCCTTTTGGCTCCCCGTTATGAAGCCCTAACCGTGCCCCAGTCCCCAAACCCCTCCTCCGCCCAAACAGGATGGAGCCATTCGGTGCTGATAATAGCTCCGGGGTGGGAGGGTGAGGACACCGTCTGCCCCTGTCGCTGCCAGTGTGCACCCTGGCAGCACCTTGGCTCGCTCTCGCTGGGGCAGAGTGCGCTGGGGCACACATAGATGTTGTTTTCTCCCCTCTTGCAGGTCATTTCTGATTTTGACATGACGCTGAGCAGGTTTGGGTGCAACGGCAGGCGCTGCCCCACATCTCACAGTGAGTGGAAGCTGCTGTTTTTACTGTTGCTAATTCTGTTTGGTTTCTGCGTTTGTGTTTTTCATCACTGTGGTTCCTGTCATCCTCTGTCCCCTTCTCTGCCAAACCTGACTGCTCCTCATCCAGCTCTGGGCCTCACTGCCTGGTCCTGGCCACCCACCACCCACCGTCTCCATCCCACTCTCCCAGCAGAGCCAGGCCCTGTGCTCGGCGCCTGTTGGGACTCCACAGCTGTGCCACCACAGCTTCTTTTGGGAGGAGCTGGCACTGAGATGCAGGAGAGCTGCTGTTAGAAAGGCTTTTAATGTCTCTGTGCCATTGTCATTTTATTGTCCTTGCAGATATCCTCGATACCAGCCGTGTTGTCAGTGAGGACGGCAGGAAGAAGGTGGGTGCTGTGTGTAGGACACTCTGTCACTCGTCACCATAAGGTCACACTGGCTGGCATGGCAACTCTCCTGGCTGTGCTGGCTGCCAGGCTGGAGGGGGAAGTGTCCAGGCTGCATTTCAGCCAGCAGTGACAGAGAAGTGAAAAAGGGAAATTGAATTTGCATGCACAGCTGTGGGTGTTTCAGCTCGATAAGAGGAGGAAGGGGAGGGGTGTTTGTACCTGCAGTGTCTGGAGCAAGGTGCGGGTCAGCCAGGCTGCCAAGAGCTCCAGGTGTGCTCAGAGGGAAGCTGCTCAGTGACACAGTTGGGTTGTGTTTAGGAAGTGTGATGCTTTGGAAGACTTCAGAAATGCTGGTTTTGTTGTTTATAGTCTGTTTAGACCTGATGTTCAGTCTGTTCTTTTTCCCTCTGTACCACGCTCCAGCTGAAGGACCTGCTGCACTATTACTATCCCATTGAAATTGATCCCAACCGGACCCTGGAAGAGAAATGTCCCCTCATGGTGGAGTGGTGAGTGCTGTGCATGATGATCTTGACCTTACCCTGACAACCTCTTGTCCCTGAGGACTGCAGGACGCAAGGCTTGAGCTGTCCCTGGGCTTTGTGGTGATCCTGGGGGATTTAGTTGTGATCCTGGGGGATTTAGTTGTTATTCGGACTACTGAGGGCCTCTGCCCCAGAGCTCACTGCTGCCTTTCCCCAGGTGGACCAGGGCCCACGAGCTGCTGGTGCAGCAGAAGATCCGCAAAGATGACATAGCCCAGATTGTTGGAGAGTCGGAAGTGATGCTGAGGTATGGACATGGGGCTGTCGTGCTGAGTTATGGACATGGGGCTGTGGTGCTGAGGTATGGACATGGGGCTGTGGTGCTGAGGTACAGGCACAGGGCTTGGCTGCCCTCGGCCCTTCTCTCCTGCCTGTGCAGCCAGATTTCTCTGCTGTCACCATGCTCTGTGCTGCTGAGCTCACTCCTGGCTGCAGGCTGCTCCCTTCCTGCACAGAAACTGCTTCCCCCTCCCTTGGGCCTTGGCGAGGAGCACCTGAGGGGCCGGCACTGGGCACGGCTCTCCATGTGCAGGGTGGGATGCAGGGGCTCCTTGCTTCCAGCAGAGATTTGTTCTCTGCACTGGAGCTGCTGGGCCTTATCCAGGCCCTTGGCTCAGCAGCAGATTTCACCCACAGCACAAAAACTTTGCTCTAAAACTTGCTGCTACAGCTGCCCTGGCAGCGATGGCCCTAAGGCTGGCTCAGGGAGCTGGGCTTTGACTGAGCTCCCAGGCTCAGGGAGGAGATGGCACCATATGTCTGGGTTTTCTTGAGCCCAAGTTCCCCTTCTGCATGGAATTGTGTCCTGGCAGACTGAGGCTGTCACAGGTTGGCCTGATCGTCCTCCCAACCAGTCTGACCTGTTGCACATTTCCTGGCAGTGCCCTGTGCCCCCGCTGAGGAGGGGGTGTGATCAGCAGGTGCCAGGCAAAGAGCTGGAGTGCTCCATGTTCCCGTGAGCACCCGCCCAACCACTATGCCCAGAGCTCTCCGGGGTTCTGCACAGGGAAGGCCACAGGAATGCTGGTGCCACAGAGAGCTCGTGCTGTTTGCAGAGCTCACCTGTGTGTTTCTGTTTGGGAAGTGCTGGACAGAAACAGGAGCTGGGCTGGGCATGCTGCCAGCCCAGAAACCGGGCACCGTGCTGGGAGCTGGTAACACAACCCCATGCAATGGACACTCCTGCTCTAGGGATGGCTTCAAGGAATTCTTTGATCAGCTGCACAAGAACAATGTCCCCCTGTTCATCTTCTCTGCTGGTGTCGGTGACGTCCTCGAGGAGATTATCCGCCAGGCCAGGGTCTTCTACTCCAACGTCAACGTGGTGTCCAACTACATGGACTTTGATGATGACGTGAGTTTCTGCACCACACTGGTGTGGTGAGGGGAAAGGTGTGGGCTGGGACCAAGGGCCGGGACACAATTAACAGCGCCACCACCGGGTTAAGAGCTGTCTGTCTGTCTGTCCTGTGTGCTCAGGGAGTCCTCACGCACTTCAAGGCCCCCCTCATCCACACCTACAACAAGAACAACACCGTGCTGCAGGGCACAGATTACTTCCAGCAGCTGAGCACGAGGACGAACATCATCCTGCTCGGGGACTCCATGGGTGACCTGACGATGGCAGATGGCATTCCCAGTGTGGAGAATATCCTCAAGATTGGCTTTCTCAATGACAAGGTGGGTGTGAGGAGCAGTGTTGTGTTTCCCTGCCAGCCTTCCCCAGGTGCCAAGCTTCGGGGCAGCAGGGAGGGGCAGTGATGTGGAGGGGTGTACTGAGCTCCTGCTGTGTCTGGGGCATTGTCAGGGTGGTTATTGATCCCCTTTCCAGTAGCGAGGGCTGTGGGTGCAGTATCTCCACCCTCAGCTCTTGGTGTTCACAGTCTTCCCCCCCTCCCCACCCTGTCCTGACGGCCATGCTGTAGGTGGAAGAGCGGAGGGGGAAGTACCTGGAAGCCTATGACATCGTGCTGGAGAGCGACGAGACGCTGGACGTGGTCAATGGGATTCTCCGGTACATCCTTACTGAGACATGAGCTGGGAAGAGGCATCCCAGCTCCGGCCCCGCAGCAGGAACTGGGCAGGGAACGTCCTCCCCGGGACAGAGCTGGAGGGGATCTGCTGGTACTGGCTGGGCTCCGTCCTGACCTCACTAATGCCCTCGGCCCTGGAGCGGGAGAGAAGAGGTGGAGGAATCTTCTCCATTCCCTTTACCCCAACTGCCTGGCTCTGCTGCTTCCCTCTTGGACTGGCTTCATCCAACTTGGACTTCATCCCACTTGGAATTCATGCCCTCTACCTCCCAAGGCCACAACAAACCGTTCCATGTTTCAGAAAGAGACGTCCTGCACCTGCTTCAGCAGCTGAGTGTGGAATGGAGATGGTTTGCTGTGGGACAGACCCGGTTTAGATGAAGTTTTAGAGTCACTGTGTTCCTCACTAAGAAAACAAATCTCTCTCGTCCTGTTTTCCTGTTTCTGAGCCCTGGTGCCACCACTGGGCTGGTGTGGCCCTGCCAGGCATCGCATTGCCCAGCCCCACATCCCCCAAGAAAACCTGCAGGTCCCTGGCCTTGGGTCCCACCTCGTCCCTCTTGCACCAATACAATTCTTACTGTGAACAAAAAGCTTTTCCAGCTGTCCCTGAAGGCCTCAGAACTCAGCTCCTGCTGCTGCCCAAACCCAGAAGTAAGTTTGTCTGCCAGGGTTGGGGCTGGGGTTTGGGTGGGGTGGGAGAGGAGAGGCCACTGGCAGCATTTTGGGTTTTAAGGAACGTTTTAGCTGTCTGTGTTTCTGTCCTAAACTTCTAGGCTGATCCTAGGCTGATCCCAGGGTCTTGGAGCAGCAATAGGAAAAACCCTTGTTGTTTCTGTCTCCCCTATGGTTATGTGGGACTTCAGGAAGTGCTGACTCTGTTCTCCGTGTTGGAATAAAGACGTTATTGGCTAAAGCTGGGCCACAGGTGGTTTGTACCTGGTGCCGAGGGGCTGGAGCTGCTCTGCTCCCAGGGCTGGTGCTGGCAGCTGCCTCTGCTCCCCAGCTCCGGGTCCCTCCATCCTCCCTCAGAGCCCCCCAGCCCTCACTGGCCACTGGAGCTGAAGCTCCAGCAGCTTCGCTGGAGGATCCCAGGAAAGGATTTTGGTTTCTCCTACTGGACCCAGCAGATGCTGGAGCCTGGAATCCCCCTGGGCACTGCCAAGGCTGGTCCCTGCACCGCTGCCCCAACATGCAGGAATGTTTCGTGGCAAAATAACCTGACACAGGCAAACTCCTTGGGAACCAGGAGGAATTATTTATTTGGTGCAAGGTAGATTCACCATTTGAGGGGGTCACTCTGCCCTCTGCACTGGTGGGTTCCTGCATTTCCTCTATCCCTGTCTGCAGGATGGAACGTGCAGAGGTTTTGGGAGCCCTGCTGGTCCCAGCTGGAGAACCTGAGCACCCCGAGGTCATGACCTGCATTTAGGCATTGAAACAAAATTGGGCTGATTTGTCTCAGTCGCTGAGAGCTAGGGGGTGGGGAGGATGTGGAGAGGGATGATGATGCTCCCTGAGGGCCTGGAGGAAGAGGGGATCTGTTCCCCTTCTTCCAGCTTGTGAGGGGTTTGCCAGGTCTCATCCCTGCAGTTTTGGGGGGCCCAGACTTTTGGATTGGCAGATGCCTGTGGAATATTGGGGTTTCACCCTGGGAACCTGAGCCCCTTGCAGCTTCTTGTCCCAGGAGGAGGCAGTGAGGACAGAGCAGGGACTGGGACAAAAGTCTTCTCTAATTCTCTCTACAGAATTTTAAGCGTGTGTATAAAAAAACCCCACCCCCAACCCTAAACCACAAAATGCTGGGGTGGAGGTGAGGGGAAGCCCCCCCCCACATCCCTCCTGCCCCCCAAGGCAGCACTTGTGGGCAAGGGGGCTTGAGCAGGACCTGCAGTCACTGGTGGAGGACAAAGGGGTTTGGGGAGGGGACACCTTCTTGCCTGGATTTATTAGCTGGGGGTTGAGTTTTCCTGCCCAGGAGGAACACAACAAAATACCCTCAGTTAAATAGAAAGGGGGGAAAATCAAAATCTGCTCCCCTGCAGGGCTGGGGAGGGGCAGGGGCAGATTCCCTGGGCAGCTGGGATGGGAGACCGGCCATGGCATGGCCAGGACGAGTCCTGTCTCCAGGAACAGCAGGGTCTGCTCCTCAGAGCTCCTCGTGAATCTTCTCCTGGTCCTCGTCTGACTTCAGCTTCAGCTCCTCAGGCGTGATCTTCCCGTCCTGGTTGCGGTCCTGGTTCTGGAACATGTCGGCGATGACTTTTTCTGGGTCAGAGCTGGGCATGAGGCGGCCTTTCCCCTCTGCCACCTGGGTCTTGATGAAGGTGGAGAACTGGAGAGGGGAGAGATGCTGCTTGGCTCTGCATAGCCAGCACCGGGCAGGGCAGGGAGACCACAGCCCGTGCCAAGGACAGCAGGGACCAGAGCACCAGCCTGGGGTCCCTCGGTGCCCTGGGCCCACTCACCTCGTCAGCAGGGATCTCCCCGTCCTTGTTGAGGTCCATCTGCTCGTAGAGGTTGGCCGGCGGCTCCCCGTGCCAGATGAAGAGGTAACCCTCGGGAACCCCCTCCTCCATGGAGATCAGCTCCACCTCGAAGCGCAGCACGGCACTGCCGGGCACCCCCCGGGCTGGAAACACAGCGAAGGCTCCAGCACCACAGGGAGCACGGCAAAGCCCCAGCCCTGACCCCTCCAGCCCCAGCCGGGGGCCCTGAGGGGGCTCAACAAGGCTGAACCCCTCAGTTTGTGTCACCCACATCAGTCACCACTCCCCTACCTCCGCTCTCCCCGTGGCCCAGGTGGGGGGGGATGATGAGCACCCGCCTCTCCCCTACACACATGTCCAGCAGGCCACTGTTCAGCCCCTCGATCACCTTGTTGGCCCCCAGGGTTACCTCCTGGGGCTTCTCATAGTCGTGGCTGCAGGAGGCACAGAGAAGACAGTGCAGGTGAGAAAGCCCCTTGGATCCAGTAGGGAACCCTGAAATCCCAACCCCTCCATCCCACCGTGCCCTAAAATCCCACATCCATGCCATAAAGTTCCCCACTCTCCATGTCACCCCCACGTCCACCCCACTGTGCCCCCAAACCTTGCACCCTCCTCCCTGTTGCCCCGTGGCTGATGCCCCAGTGCTGCCCCTTGCAGAGCGGATGCTCCCGGTGCCGCCCGCCCCAGCTCAGCACCGGCCAGGATTGAGCCCCGGGAAGGACAGGTGAGCTCGGGGCACGCACGAGGAGAAGAGCCGGGTGCCGTCCAGCAGGGAGCAGTTGTAGTGGTAGCGCACGAAGTCCCGGTCGCGGGTGGTGACGTTGCAGCCCTCGGGCCGGAACACGGTCTCGATCTCCACGGGGTCTGCGGGGTTGTGGAAGTCGATGACGTGGACATCAAAGATGAGCACGGCTGAGCCGGGAATTTTGTCCCCTGGAAGAGGAGGATGAGGAGAGCTGCTGAGAGAGCTGCTGGAGTGCTGTAAGGCTGGTAAAACCTTTCCCTGCTTCTTCCCATGACCTGTGATGTGCCTGTCCCTCGGAGCCCGGGCTCTGCACATTTACCTGCACCGTTCTCCCCGTAGGCCAGGTGTGGGGGGACGACCACCCGCCGCTGCTCTCCCACGCAGACCCCCTGCAGGCCCTGATCCATGCCGGGGATGATGTAGCCCTTCCCGATGTAGGTGTTGTAGGTTTGATTGCGGGAGTAGCTGCAGCAAGAGAAGCCTCCGGTGCCATCAATCCCCTCCCAACCCCTGCACCCCAACCCGCACCCCTTCCCCCAGCCTCTCCTGCTCCTGCAGGAGCAAACCTAGGGATGCAGCAAACAGGTGTTATCCTTCTTAGCCTATTTCATGCCCGTTACCACCCTCTCCTCCCCAGCAGTTCTCCAGGCTTTCCCTGCAGCCGTGGGGCAGGAGGGGACATCAGGGGCTCTCCCCACACCTGGAGTCGAAGAGTGTCCCATCCATGAGTGTCCCGTTGTAGTGGTACCGCACAAAGTCCCCGGTCACAGCCCGGCGCTTGCAGGGCTGTGGCACCTCCAGGTGCTCCAGGAAGACACCGTCCTTGGGGTTGTGGAAGTCCACCAGCAGCACGCTGAACACCAGTGATGCCTGTGGTGGGATCACAGTCCCTGGGGAGCGGACATGGCTCAGCCTAGATGAGGATCCTGCTGCACCACAGGGCCTCTGGGCAGAGCTGGGAGGGAAGGGGCCGGTATGAAGGGGTGGGATCTAGCTCACCATAGCCCTTCTCCCCATAGGCCAGGAACGGGGGGATGATGATGCTCCTCTTCTCCCCGGCGCACATGCCCAGCAGCCCCTGGTCCATGCCCTTGATCAGCCACCCAGTACCCACATAGGTGTCGTAGGTGCTGCCCTTGCTATAGCTGATGGGGGAAAATGAGGGTGGGGATGGCTCCAGGGCCACACCAGCACCCCCAGCCAGAGCTGTGCCATGCCACAGGCTGGTTTGGGGGCCGTGGAGCTGCACCAGCAGAGCAGGGAGTGCCCCGTGCCCCAAGGCCAGGGGCATCGCAGCGCCCCATACCTGGAGTCGAAGGGGGTCCCGTCCAGCAGGGTGCCGTTGTAGTGGTACCGCACGAAGTCTGAGTTCTCCACCGTGCGGTTGCAGTGCTCGGGTTTGGACACGGTGGTGACCTGCAGCTTGTCGTTCTTGTTCCAGATGTCCAGCATGACCACGTCGAAGTACAGGGTGGCATCTGGGGGGATCAGCCCCGCTAAAGAGATGGCAGTGAGGACAGAGCACCTTAGGTAAGACCAGCACCAAGCCCAGGCTCTGTCCCCTGAAGCCCTCCTGAGCCCACCACGGCTCAGGGCTGCTGGAGACCCGTGCCAGCCCCTGGGAAAGCAGCAGAGCCCAGGCTGGGGGCAGGACCCCTCATTCCCAGGGAAGCCCTGCTTCAGCACCGCTTGCCCTGGCCGTGGAGCTGCCAGGTGGGCTCTGGAGCCCTGTCCCTGCCGACACCAGCCCCAGGGGAGTTGCCCCCTCCATCCCCGTGGCCCCTTACCCACGCCGATGCTGCCGTAGCCCAGGTGGGGCGGCACGATGAGGTGACGCCGCTCGTTCACGCACATGCCCTGCAGCCCCCGGTCCATGCCGGTGATCAGCCGCCCAACGCCCACCACGCCAGCCACTGTGGCCCCTCGGTCATAGCTGGGGCGAAGGGACAGGCCCGTCAGAGGTGCAAAAAAGGATGAAGCTCCCAAAGCTGCTGGTGGGGGGGCAGAGTTGGGGGAGAGGGCTGCCCCCTCCCCGAGGTGCAGGTAGCCCACCACAGCCCGTGAGTCCCTGTGCTGCAGGCAGAACCCACAGCTCAAAACCACAGATCCTGATGGGCTCGATCCTGCACTGTTGGGAGGCAGCTGCCCCCTGCAGCACTGGTCAGGGCTCCAGCCTGACCCTGCACCCCCAGGACCCATCAGCTGCCTCTTCAGGTCTCACCCACAGAGCTGGGCTGGAGGCCAGCAGCTCCCAGGCTTCCTGCTGCTTCCAATTCACTTTGCATATGGCACATTGGAGCTTTGTGCAGCAAGGAGGAAAGACAACGTCCCGGCCTCATTTTTAAACTGCAGATTTGTTTTTATTTTATATCGAAAAACTCCAAGAAGTAAGTGGAGACATCTCAGGTAAATCGAAATCCTTAATCCCCTTGTTTCTGTGTCCCCAGTTCTCCCCCTGCTCACGGTGCTGCAAACCAGGGGCTGCCCCAGGCTCAGGTCCCAGCCAGTGTGGGCAGAGCAGGAGCAATCCAGGGCCAAGGGACACCGAGTGGAGCAAAGCCTCTGGGGTAATGAAGGGTTTCACCACTGCCACGTCTCAAAGTGCTTTAAGTGTTTTCCTGCCTGTGCAGCACAAGCAGATACATGTTCCTGAGTGCAGAACGTCCCACTTGGGGCCAAATCCTGCCTGTGCCCGGGACACGCTCCCAAACGGCACTGTGGAGCTGAGGGCATGCAAGGCTCCCCAAGGGGCTGGGGGGAGCTGGGGGAGCCAGCAGGGCAGCCCGGGCAGGGGCTGGGGGAAGGGGCTGCAGCCTGGGTTGAGGCTTTGCTTGAGGCCAGGCCGGGCCCCCTAGGCTGACACGTGTACAGGGCTCCCCGGGTCCATGTGCTCACCCCAGCACCCAAAAAAAGCCCTTCTTGGGGTCAAAGCTGGGGGATCTGGGCACTGTACGGAGCGGGCAGCTGCCTGCCCTGGCCTGGCTGCCCCTGTCCCGGGGCTGGGGGACGCATGCGGGGTCCCCGCAGCTGCCTGCCCGCCCCGGGATGCGGGCTGGGGGCTGGGGGAGACATGCAGGGTCCCGCCGCAGCTGCCCCCCGCATGCAGCCGGCACAGAGCCGCGGGCGATACCTGGAGTCAAACTTTTTGCCATCTTTAAAGGTCCCATTGTAGTGGTAGCGAATGAAATCCCCCATCTGCGCCTCCCGCAAGCAGATTTTGGGGATATAGTATCTGTCTATCACCACGTCTTCCAGGGGGCCGGGGTTGCCCAGCGCCGGGGCCCCCAGGATGCCCAGGAGGAGGAGGAAGAGGCAGCGGCTGCCCGGGGCCATGGCCATGGCGCTGGGGCTGCGGCGGCGGAAGGGCCCGGCGGGGGGAAGGCGGAGAAGGGGGGTCCGGGACGCCCCTTCCCGCCCGGGACGCCCCTTCCCTTCGCTTTCCCTCCCTTCCCTTCCCCTGCGCCCGCCCAGCCCGGCCCTCTTGGAATTTCTGTAGACGTGTCCGGGCCCCGTCGCGCTCCCCCCGCGCTCCCCCCTCAGTGCCGGGAACAGACACCGCGGGAGAGAAAGATCCACGGCGGGAGGGGTTGTTTTTATGAGCTCTTTTGTTTTTCCTCTTTTTTTTCATTTTTTTTTCTTTTGTCCCCCCTCCCCCGTATTTTTACCCATTCTCCCTCCTCCCCATCTTTTTTTCCCCTCTTTTTTTCTTTTTTTTTTTTTTTTTTTTTTTTTTTTTTTTGCCTGGGCAGTTCCTCCTCCGAAGGAAAAGCTGACGGAGCCTTTGGGGAGCGGCTGCGCGGCTGCAGGGCCCGGCCCCAGGTCCAAGCGCTGCCGCGCCTCCTTCTCTTCCTCCTCCTCTTCTTCCTCTTCCTTCTCCTGCCACCGCCAGGTCATCACACCCAGCCCAGGATGCTGCTGCTCAGTCCCAGCAGCTTGGGAGAGTAAATGGAAGGAATTAAATGCTTTAATAATGTGTCTGCTGCCGGCGGACTGAATGGCAATAACTAAAAATGTGAAAATCTCCTTCTAACAGTCCTTCCCAGGCAAACGCAGCCTCCAGCACACACAGAGGTGTTGCCCACACATCCCCATTCCCCCAAAGGCATTGGCAAGAGCCCTCAGCAAATGCCAGGTGGGAGATGCAACAGGCTGTGAGCCCAAACCCAGCTCCTCTGAGGCTCAGCACTGCTGGTGAAAGCAAAAGATCCAGCAAAGCACCGTTGGCTTCCTCACCCTGGACCTGGGGTGCTCTGAAGCCCCCCAACACACCCCACCGGGGCTGAGCAACCTCAGCACTGCTCGGAGCAGCTCAGGAGGACTCGGGGCTCTGCCCATGGCCTGACAGGGGGCCGGGCCTGGCTCTGACAGTGAGTGCTGGCAGGGATGGTGGCACCCCAGCCACGTGCGGTGCTGGGCACTGCCAACAGCCTCTGCTCCACAGGAGAAACCTCAGCAGCGTCCTGGCTCCTGCCCTGCACTGTGACATCCCTCAGCACCACTGTCCAGCTGGCGAGAAGGCACTGGGCTTGGGCCGGGGCCAGTGTGGCCATGCCGAGGCCTGGCGTGGGACAGCCCTGGGGCCAGGATCTGGCACAGCACAGGGCGTGTGGCCTCAGGCTTGGCAT